TACAAAAAAATATATATATATATATATATATATATATAACAATTAAAATTTTGAGAATCAAATTTGATAAAATCAACAAATAATATGACATTTCTAATTTTTTCACAACTTTCAGAAATTGTTTTCCCCTTAAATTTTACAGAAAAACACTTTACTGAAAACCAAGCTAAATTTTTTTTTGATTGAAAAGTGTTTTTCGTTGACTAACTTTTCTAATAGCAAACAAACATAGAAAAGTTTGGAAAGTGAGTTTCTAAAAAGTAAATTCCAAAAAATAAACATAACATAATAGGTAGATACTTATTATAAGATATATACATTGGACTATCCAATCTTTCTTAGAACCCTTTACATGGCCAGCATTAAAAGACCCTATTTCTTTAGTATTTTATTTTTATTCTCACCATAATTTACACTAATGCATTAGTTACTTCTTCACTAACCAAAAAACAAAACAATTTAACAATTCTCACAATTAATCTAAAAAAATTCTTAAATCAAAGTACATTAAAATTAAACTACAACATATCAAAATGATTAAAATAATTTTTTCATCATCTTCATATCAATACACATTTAATGCATACCATAATTCAAATCAATTAAACCAAACTTTTTGGTCCTCCCTATTTTACCAACCCTACCACCCTACAAAACACTAAGTTTCCTTTTTCACTATTTATAATCTATTTCATTTTATTTGAATTCATTAAAATCAACTTTATATTTTTTTAATTTCCATTTACGAACACTAGAATAAAGTTTGAGAATTTTTTTATATAAAAAATCATCTAACTTTATTTGAACTAATTGGATAAATGGATCTAAAATACTTTACTAGAAGATTTATATACTTCAAATGCCTTCTCGGTGAATATTTACCACCCCATCCTTTTCTTCTTTTAATTTTCTTTTTTTTTTCTCTCTAAGCTGCACTTTTTGTAACTTGATTTTTCTCAAAAACTCCTATCCTAAGTAGATTTGGAGTAGTTTTTCCTAGTAAAAGTTCCTCTCAAACACTTCCTAATCCTTAAATTTTAAAGAGAACAACAAGTTTTGTAAGAGAAAATGAATAATTTGTGCCCCTTTTCTCTTTTAAGGGCTTTCAACATGAACAATGCCAGTGAGAGAAGATTTCTGATAAAATTATAACAATGCTATAAATGAGTTCATGTATTAATTTTTGTATTTTTGTTTAATCGTTGATATTTTTAAAAGGCCTTCTTAAAATGTGATTGCCTTGAAATTTTGACTCAAGATATAACAATATATTAGAAGACACCTTATAAAATCTTAGCCCGATCTAATTATTGAATTGAGAAATGCTTGATATCATAAAACTAGACAATAAATAGATTTCATGCCAAAATTATAATTTATGATTTACTAAAATCATTACGATTTTCATACTAATTCATTGAAGACTTTCATCCATATTGATAATAAAAATATTTCCCTCATATTTCCTCCTATTTTGGTTAAAACTACAAGATTGTATGTGAAATTTATATCAGCGGTTAACGTTTTTTACTTGTAAAGTCATATACTAATTTATTTAAATTTCCTTTCTATTTTCTTTTATAAATATCCTCAATCTAAATTTACAAAAAATTATTCCTTAAAAATAATTATTTTACCTTATCAAAAACTTTATGTGATTTATCACTAATTAACATTTTGCATATGGATTTTATTACTTTATTTCATTTGATTTAACAAGGATGTTCATCCCAAGTTACAATAATTTTCTTCCTAATTTATTATTTTTTAATTAAAAATTACCCTATTTAACACTAATTTGCTGATTTTTAGGCCAAGGGTTTACAATCATGATACAATGAAATGAAATGCACTATAACATTGTCTTATTTTTTTACCATATTAGAAATTAACTTGAGACCTTACAAGTTTTTATTAGCATATATGATTTTTTATTTATTTTATTATATCCAAGTTTTTATTAGCATATATGATTTTTTTTTTATTATATATAAACATCAACTTTTTGACTTACATTTATATTTTTTATTCTACATCAAAAAATTCATTAACAATATTTTTATATTCATTACTTTGTATTGAATTTTTTTTTTTTACCAAACCTACAATGAAGCGAATAGAATAAATGTGCTGACACTTTTTTATAAATTTATTCGCAACAATATATTTCAACTTATTACATAAACTTTTTAATTTATAATTATAATTTTTCTCATCAAAAAATACTTTAAAAAAGCTTGTATATTTTTTTTTGCTGAAAAAAATTTATCCAACTTTGCCAGTCAAATACTAACTAGATAGAAAATGGATTTCTCAGAGAAAAAAAAAAGACAGTAAATGCATGTGACAATATAGAAAAACAGATATACTTTCAATAAACTTGTTTGAATATGTTGATGGAATAATGTGGCTATGTGGCCACAGCAGGTCATGGCAAACCCTAGCTAATTATGTGGGGAAAAAAGTACCATTAATTATATTGTTTTATGATCAAAATCAAGATTAAAATCATGGGGAATACTGAAACACAAACTTTTGAGTGGAAACCCAGTGACCCCCTCTCACCTGTGCTTTCATATTAGTCATCCATAACTGACTGGATTTTCCTAGTGAACCAGTCATTTTGCATAAAATATGTGGTTGATCATTCAATGGTCAAAACATTATTATTTCTCACTCCTACATTTGTGCACAATGGCATAGGTTTTGACTCAGTGATCATCTTGAAAAGACAGCGCCCCAAAATTTAAGCCTGCGTGTTGCTTCAAAGGGCACATAATGGGCACTGACATATTCTCAGCAAGGAAGCTCTAGCATTGAACATTGTCTCAATAAAATGGAGCTTAATTGCAAATTACACAATACCACATGGTATATTGGGGTAGCTGAAAGTACATGTAATGAGGGTTCTTTTACATGCTATTTGTACACTGATGGTGCTGAGACCAAGACGCAACCCTCCAAGGCACCTAAATATCAGTAACAGATGATGCAGAACCAATGTGAAAACCAAAGGAAATGCAAGTAAGTTCATCTCCTTCTCCATCAACCATCTTCATAGTAAGAGAGTATGAACCCTGCAAATGATAAACATTGCCATGGATATCATTAAGGCAACAGGTAAATGTAAATTATTTCTTCTCACTATCTTGACTCCACTATAAATTTAAATCAGTGATTCAAAGTAGGGACCTCCATACAACAAGCATTCAGAATCAAACACTCAGCAATTCATATGAGAAAAGAAACAGGCTGGGGCAGTCTTTTCTCCATATGTTGCACCATTCAAAAGAAGAATAACGGAAAAATGAGAAAGGTGAAGGTGGAGTAGAGATAGATTCAAGCACGAGCATGGATATCATGATGATAAATTCTTCATTAGAAACAAACAAATAAGTTGGATTTGATTCACAGAAAATTAAAATTATTGTCATTAACCTAGATGTACTTCTTGAAAACAAAAATTATGTGGAGCGAAAACATCTATTCATCGATGATAGCAGCTGTGATTGTGTTGTTCTGATTTCTGCGCTGTAATACCCTATCTCAAACTTATAAGTTGGATTTGATTCACAGAAAAATAACATTATTGTTATTCCGAACAATAATACCCTATCTCAAAGAGTGCTTTGGAGTAACTTATCATTGACCAGTGCACCCACAAGCAACACTGATTGGTAGAAAAAAAACAACTCACTGCACAACTCACCATTTTGCTCCAGAAAATAAGGATGAATCTTGTAACATCTAATGCAGATTTTAAAACATATGACGTTGAAGGATGAAAAATTAGGCACATATCATTACACAAGACAAGATGACTTACCAAACCATTTAATCCCAAAACTAAGATTGCACATTTAGAAAAATGTGCAA